CTCTCTCTCTCTCTCTCTCTCTCTCTCTCTCTCTCTCTCTCTCTCTCTCTCTCTCTCTTCCCCTAGGCTATCTTGGTCCGTGACACTGGTTTAGGAAATGCTTAGACAGCATACAGTGAGATGGTATTGGCGAGAAAAAGGACGGAAAGATAGGGATGAGGATAGGATAAAGGAGCCATCAGTGATGATAAGAAACGTGGGAACGGTTCATTCACCCTTCGATGGATCAGACACTTCTCCCTCCTCCTGTACTCTCGCGAGCTCGAGATAGATCATCTCTCTCTCTCTCTCTCTCTCTCTCTCTCTCTCTCTCTCTCTCTCTCTCTCTCTCTCTCTCTCTCTCTCTCTCTCTCGCTCATTCCCTCGCTAAAAGGATACACACAACGGCATAGCGAAGAAGAAACGCGAGGTCGATGAAACGAGAGAGAGAGAGGGAGAGGCGGCTCACATTTAGCTTCTCTCAAGCCGATATATAATGGTGTGAGAGTTGAAGTGACAGCCAATGGAACGCTGCCACGTGTCGTGTGACTGGGCGACCTATCTTCCCCATGCCCACCGCTGATCGGATGGCATTTCCATGATGCTGATTATGCCAATGTTGATAGCACTGATAACAGCGACAAAACCGATGACCATAACGCTAATAATGACGATGACAGCCGCCAGGCCTACGACGATGACGATGACGATGACGATGGCGATGGCGATGGCGGCGACGAGAGAGACATCAGAATACTAATTGGTCCCGGTGCTTCTTTCTGTATTGGGACCGGCAAGGTTCGAGCTCTGCACGTCGCCAAGCAACCACTTGTCTGAGCCTGATAGGGCCTCGCCACACTACTCTCGAAATGTGAAAAAGACAAAAATGTGGCGGGTGCATCTGGCCGTGTTCTCGCGGGACGTGCATTCTCATTTTGCACATTTCGCAAGTGGTGTGGCGATGCCCATACCTAACTAACCCAATGTTTAAACTGCGGTCAGTTCACCCCGATCATGCACATGAGGCGGAATGTAAGACACGGGGACGTGTTAGCAAACAGATCTTGAGTTCGAATCCTGCCAAATATTTTACGCGGGACGACTTCCGGCTCCCAAATTTTGGTTTGGTTTGCTTTGGCAGCTCCTTCACGTCTACAAAAGTTTGGAACATTGAACATTCATAATAATAATTATAAAAATAAAAAAAAGTTCGAAACATTCATAAATAAAAACGAACGGCGGTGCTCGTTGAGCCCGAAGAGCCCGACGAGTGGGTTCGCACCTCTGTCCAGAACGACGGGAATGTGTCAATATGAGGAGCGGGCGTCATTGCGAAGCACTTGCCGCACTTTCGTGGGCAGTTTTGTCTGTTTGATAGCCCACTGGGGCTATATACGGAAAATTTGGACAATCAATGGGCCGTTGATACACCCATGAACTGTTGAATGCAGAGTTCGAATCCAGATGCCACCAGCTGACCACAATAAAATCATTCTGAAACCCAAGAGCCTTTAGCTCAGTGGGTACACCCATGAACTGTTGAAATACAGACCGAGTTCGAATCCAGATGATGGAACTTGATGAGTAAGGGCCTTGTAAGACCCTCCTATGCCGAGAGATTTCCTTGGATTCCTCAGAATCCCCAGCCAAAACGTCCTTGGATTCAAGGGGTCCTCGCGAGGTCCCTTGGGTTCAAGGAGCCGTGATTGATGGGGTGTTCTGGAGCGAGTGCCAACAGGAAAATTTGGAGTCGATGTTGGTGCACAGGTCGTCCGTGGTCCATTGGGCGGACATCGCCGGCCTCCAGTACCCGACGGGGCCCCAACGGCCTTCCACCGTTACCGTTGCCGTGGAAATGTGTAGGGGTGGTTCTTCAGCTTCAAGGCGCTTCACGACGCAGGGTTTTTCATGCGTGCGTCGCCGGCCGTGGTGTCCAACGGTCAAATTTTTTTATTTTTATACAAGCGATGTTGAAGCACTGTCGGTCAATTGCAGTCATCTGCCGAGCTTGTTTTGTCAGCTATTGATGCAAGCTTTGTTTGGTACACGCCTCAAATGCTACGATTCATGGCAGACGTCCTTCGGCGGTTCCCGCTCCTGCTGCTGGCCACTCTTCTCCTGCTCCTTGTCGTGTTGTTCCACGTGTGCGTTGTTGTGTGGGGTCCTGGCAGCAGACAGAAACACTAAGCGCAGTGAACGCTGAGGAAGACGACGATGGACAGGCGGGAAATCTCCAGCAAACAGTCGACGCTCGCCATTAACTACTCCACTCCGCAGCTTCTCCTTGTAGTAGCCCTCTGTTGTATTGTCAACCTGTCGAAGATCCTTTCATATCCCTCTTGTCCTTCTCCTCATCCACTGTCTCGGCGTCGCCAGCGGGATCAGACTCGATGCCATGGCGCAACAGAATTGCACAATGGATTCTGATAACGACACACAATTTGATGCATTCATCACTTGTTGCATCAGCTGCCTCTGCCTGCGAACGAACAATCTCATCCTCAGGCGAGTTGTCGTTCTCTCAATGCCATAATGCATGGTGACGACTGATACAGTTGCGACCACCGTGTTTCTCTCCAATGCAGTTAATGTCTTCGCACCACCCCGGAACTCTCGTTCCATCGTCAGGACTTGCAATGTGCAAGCACCCACCACTCGTTCGCCCGCCGGCGCCCTCGTTGCACCTTCTGCACGTCGATGGGGACCGCGCTCGCACTCTCTACGTTTCACGGAAGCGTTACGCTCGTGCTAAGCTGTGACGGCCCGAAGAGCATGCGGAACACGAAGGCGACGTCGCAGTAGAGAACCGTTACGCATGCACGCTACATTGCCCAACATTCCAATGCCCTCCTTTTAAGCCATGCCCACCATCACTCCTTTGCACAGACTTTTCACCCTAGTCTCCAGTTTAGCCGCCAGGACGCCTCACACACGGATGTGTCAGAACGGAGGATTCAACATTTGAAATTGGGACGGGGATGTTGGCGCCCTTTTTTCTCGTCAGCCCGGTAGGCCTCCCTGCCGCCGCCACTGGACCACGCCTGAGGACGCATGGACATCCCAGCACGATGACGGACATCCACCCCCGCGGCCACGTGTATGCGTACAAAATTGGCCGCTGGAGACCTCCGAGGGTTTTCCTTGGGACCCATTGAATTAGACCGCAGTGTAATGATGACGCCGAAAATCGAAAATTTTTCCAAGGACTTCATCCTAATTCCTGAGGATTTTTCAAGGAGGGTCTAACGAGGCCCTAAAATCAACTACTAATGAATTTGAATTGCCTGGGACCGGTCAACTCAATGATAATATATCAAGGTCATTCTGAATTACGTGGGCCTGGTCATCTCAACGAAGATGTTTCAAGGGAAGAAAGAAGAGCCCACGGCCTATCTCCGTTGGTAAGGCACCGAAGTGGCACTCTGAAGGTCTCGGGTGCAGTGAGCAATTGAGCAGAGACTGCTGATGTCTGTAGGGGGAAGAGACCGAAGGGGAGGCACACTGACTTGCCCATCGGAGAAGCTCGGTCCTGATGCTACCGGCTGACCCTTGGCAGGTATCGCACCTGCTGGTGGGTGCAACTCCTCCATGCTCCCCTGTTGGAGGCTTGACGCGGATGTGGCTGCTACGGAGTTCCCCGTAATACTCTAATGACAATAGAAACAGACATTAAAGGCCATCCTATCCGGATTTGACAAGTAATTGGATTTGTTGCACGCTGTCAGGGCAAAAACCCTAACAAGGGTATTTGCTGTTTTTTTTTAACATTGAACAATGCCCGAGTTTTTCTTGGTGAATTGAAGGACTTGATGAGGCTAACGTTGCCAAAGTTATTCTGACCTGACCTATGATTGAAAGATTAAAAGTTTTTCAGACTCTAGTCCGGACACGTGTGGCATCCGGGAGTAACGAATGTGAATGGCAAGGCTAACAGTCGCGCGATTCAGGGCCTTATTACGCTAAAAAAAATAGATGCGTCAGGTATAGGACCGCGAAGCAGGAGGAATAAGAAGTTTGGGCCTGCGGGGTTGGATTTTGAACTAGAGGGCTGACTGGCCGATGCCGAGGCCTACCCGATTAGGTGACTATCAAGTCGGGGTAGCGCGGCTAACTGGTAAGGCACTGCCAGTAAGCAAGGTCTTCCACACCTCGAATAGGCGAGGCCAGGAAGGCCACAGGCAGGGGAAGCCTGCCGAGTTACTAAGGGACGGTCGGCCAGGCTCCACAACTCTTCAAATAGAAGGGTTGCCCCTACTACAACCGTAGTAGGAGCCAGCCCTAAAGGTAAACACAACAGACTGCCACCCCGCAGACGCGGGGATTGAATCCGTGCGTGTTTTTGGGCTGACTCCTT